ACGTCTGCCGCCTCATGGAGACGCTGGGCGACTGGCGGCGCCGGAGGACTCATTCCACTACGCAGGTGGAACGCGCGTTCTAAGCGCCACGCCTACTTCGCACCCACGCCACGTTAACCTACAGGCTGGCCAACACTCCGCGAATCAAAGTCGAAAAAAATTAGGTTTCCGGAGATGTTGTCGCTGGAATCTTAGCTGTTGGGAACACGCTGCACTTTAGGGAAACGATTCTATTATCATCTTGTGACCTTCTTCAGGGCTAAATACTTGTCGTTCGGAATTTGCTTAAAGTCGCATAATAATTGGAAACCATAGCCTACGAAGATGATGCTGGGCGACTAGTGACTCTAGAGAATCCCATTTCACCAGGCAGTTGTGCCAACCCACACTACACGCCATGCTGACCATCAGGCTGGCCAACACTCAGGGAAAGTCAGGGTATCATGAATAATGATGAATGACTTAGCCTTTCGGGAACTGTCACTGGAATCTTAGCTGTGGGTGACAAACTGAATGCCAGGGCATAGTAACCAACATTGTAGTTGTCATATTAGTACCTTCTTCAGGTGTAAATGCTCATAGGTCGCATGTTGCTAAAAAGAATCCCATAACAACCAAAACGTCCAACGTGCCTAGAACGTGACATCAGGGAATTATTTGTGTTGCATATGCTGGATAAACGAAGTATATTTTCTTTTCTCTCACATAAACGTACCAGTATTTTAAAAGTTATTTTTTTAAATAAAAGTGTTGCATTTCGTAGTAAATCAACCATATACTGTGTAATTAGCAAATGGTGTAAACTTCTATTGCTCTTTAATTTTCAGGAGATTTTATTCTATTTTTAATAAACATTACAAAAATGTTTCGTAATTTGTTCACATAAATAATTTGCGATCAGTAATTTCAATAAATGAGCGCTTAGTCGTAGTTGCTTTGCTATTTTGTTTCCTAGAATTATTCATATTTTCCCGTATAGATACGAATAAATATCGCACATCACTCGGCAAATATATAGCATAATTATATTGTGAGACCCGTGTGTGGATGCTACATTTCAGTATTATAAGCATATTAATTCACTATTTATATGTATGCAATACTACATGAGATTTAAATATATATGTTCCTCCACAATGAAAAACAAATTTCCATGTTTAATACCTCGTACAGTTGAGGTTTTCAGATATACGTTGGATTTTCGTTGATGAATAAAACTAAAATTCCCATTTAATTATTTTAAAAAATGTCTTTCCAGGTAAAATATGCTAGTTTTTAATTGTATATTTTGTAATATTTTTAAATCTTTTTAATTGCCACTGGAAATATTATTTCGGGATTAACAAGTATAATCCTTTTGTACATCTATATATCTACTCTGAAGTGACCAGTAATACAAGATCTTACTCAAAATAGTAAAATCGTTATATATTATCAATAATGGAAATACTAATAATTCAATTTTAATTGTAATTTGCTTACTGGCTTGTCCTATTACAAATTGCTGTATGTAAGAGCGTAGGCTTCCGCGGCCGGAGACAGTATTTACTTGGCTGTCGGGGTGACATCGCGTCCATGGCGAAGGTGCCGACGTTTCGGACGCCATTCTGCTACCTTCCTCAGGACGTAATGCCCGCATTATGTCAGCACCTTCGCCATGGACGCGGCGTCACCTGGTCAGCCAAGTAAATGTTGCTGTACGTACTCACAGCTCATTCATAAATACGTTTCGTTGCAAATCACTTCCCATGGAACAGGTAATACAGTGATCAATATCTGTTAATATTAGTTATTTTACAATTTAACAATTGCGGATTAATTATTCACAGGGCAGTTAAGATAAACAGAACTCACTAGCAACATAAAATATAAAGAAAATGAAGATTACACAAGGTACAATAGCTAAAATACGGCATTAACAACTGATACAATACGATTAAAACAGAAAATATAAATAATACAAATACAATAGTTAGCACAAGTTAAAATTTAATGAAGATAACAAAACATACAAAAATAAATACAAAACAATCTGTTCCAAGCAAAGATTGATGATTTGCAGATATTATAAGGTATTAATAATTCAGTCATTAGAGTGCTCGTGTATCTTCAAACTATTAATTTATTATAAATACCTCTAATTTCAGTATTGATAAAAAAACTGTAGAATCTGTAGATATTTCAGAGTTTAAAGAGAAACAATCTGAGAATAAATCTAATAATAAACCATAGTAGGACTGAGAGCACGTCTATTGCTTGGCAACGTTATTACATTTCTTCATTTATTGAAAAGCAATGTTTTCGAACCTACATTCTTCAGGTACCGTCTATTACATTCCGGAAAACGCTCCTAAATAATTATCTCCTAATGTTTCTCCATCCCTGATTCCCTATCTGTAGCCACTTCTCTTACACCCGCATGCAAAATAGACACTTATTCTTCAACAAAGATCGCAAACTATACACAAAAAGCACTACAAACTGTACATTAAAAACAAAATACACACTGAACACAATATGTATTCTCTTTCTTCTACTTCGTCCAGAACCATCTCCGTTAAAAGTTTTCTGATCACTCCCTAATGATTGCTGTTCAAGCAATAATTTTGTAGTGCTTCTATATCTCATAAATATTAATCAATTTTACTTCATTTACTATATATAATTCGTTTTTACTAAGATTTAAGTGTATGTAAGGTTCCAAACCTCAAAATTTCTGTATCTTGACAGATATAACTGATGTTTCTTGGAATAAGAATTTTGTTCTAAAGAGCAATGCTTTTGTATAAAAACTCGGTTCGGGTGCACGCATGTGCCGTTTATAAGCCACTCATCTAAGATCAGATACAGGTATTCTTTTCATTTTGACTTTGAAGCCTGCTTTCAAATTCATTTGAAGAGACTAATCAATGTACAAAACAATACTATACGACCCTGCGTTACATTATCTTTTCAAACCATTGACTGACTCAAACTTGAATTAGATTGTTTCTCTGAAGTGTCTAAGGTATTAGCGCATTACATTATTAAATTTTTGGAAAAGTTAATTTTCACTGTTTTTTTCTAAATTTTAGAAACGTTAGTGGAGATCTCTTACAAGATTCTGTTAAGCAATACGCACGATAAAATAGGTCGGTATTGATAACTGAAAACAAAAATAGTATTATAATCAATTGTACAACTGCGTCACTTTCCGAAATTTAAGACTTCTTGGAAAAGTGGATCAGTACTGTCACTACAGAATACTGCAGCTATAGTAAATCTTAGACATAAATGTTGTTCACGCAGCGCTTATACTAACATGTTACACTATACTAAAACATTCCACGTAATTCCATTTTCCTGTATTCAAATGTAGTTCCTGGGACAACCACAAAGAAACGAGGTTCTTTCAAGACATGTGTAGCTTGCTAGCAATTCAATTTTGAGTACTAGAGCTAACAATGTGATGTACCAGGTGCTCTAGTATTCAGGGAAATATGTGATTGCAAGTAACAAATGAAAATACTTTCGTCTAACCGCAACAGCTACTGTTCCTATTGTGGCGTAAAGCGATTAGTATTCTTGAATTAAAATTATAAGTGTGTGTAAAAAATGGTATACTCGTATAACACACGTGATACGTGATTTTGTTTTGCTCGAAGGATTGCTACACGAGACCGGTCGGCCTCGTGTCACAACATTTCTTTCTCACAAAATACATTGTCACGTTTACCACTCGTATCACAAAAATTAATTTGCATCATCAAAGAAGAAAGTCGACCTTTTCATGACGAGTCAGAAGAATTCACCGACGAGGCCGTTAGGCTGAATTCTTTCGAATCATGAAAAGGGACTTTTGCCCTGTGATGTACAAGATTTTGTCCGTGACCCTTTTTATGCATGATTGCGTGTAATTAAATGATATCACTGACATGAAATGTAGTGTGGTTATCAGTCTATCGTTTGTTCTGCTAGCATGACCACATTCTAGTTGATCGTTTTTCTCGTCTTTTCTTCAACAGTAAAGAATGTTAGGTCAACACCACGTATGGTGTAGGTCAGGTTCTATCGAAGTAATTTGAATTATCTTGAAATGGAAGATAAATTGGAAATAATGGGAACTCCACCTGATATATTATAATAAGCATGAGCCGCGACTGTTGGCACGTTTCTATTAAAATAAAAATATAGATATGTGAAAGAATATATGGAATTTTGTGTGGCAATGTGCGAGAGGGGTAAATAATGACACAAAAAATGTGCCGCTCGCATTCTTTCCCGAAATGAGTGAAATGTACCGGCAAACAGCTCTTTAATAGATTGCTTAATTACAATTAATGTAAACAGTTCCAAATAAAATATCAATTTATATGCATATTGAAATATAACTCAATATATTTTGGAATGGAAACTTCGCTGTGTCGCTTGCTAGTAGTAGTTTCTTGTGTTAGCTAGATGAAGACGTAGCTTGTGACACAAGTAAAAGCACTGTATGCGTTAACAAACGAGATCTGTAACAGGTTAACTTACATTTAGTCACAAACTTTTAATATAATACAAGGCTCCATGGTCCTTCGTGGACAGCAGTTAAATGGTATATTATATAGTTGGTGACACTGCAGACAGGAAAAATTCATTCTAAGACACTTTTATCAGAATCGTCCTGTAATGAACAACTTTCTTGCCGCAAACAATAAGCTACTTTCCATTCTCGAATAATATTCATTAGAGGACCCTTTTATCAGAATTGAACTGTAATGAACAACTTCCTTACCGTAAAACAATACAACAATTGGCTACTTTTCAGACAGTCTCGAAAACCTATATTAGAGGACCCTTTTATCGAAATCATCCAGTAATAAACAAGTTTCTTGCCGTAAAACTACAACAAAGAGCTACTTTCCAAACAGTCTCGGATAATAACTATTGCTCTTGCACCAGGACGCGCGCACCGTCTTCTCGAACTGGTGCCTGCCCTTGACGCCGACCGCAGCGCGCCTGCGTCGCTCTCGTCGCAGCGCAGTCGTGGCCAAGCGGTACGAGCAGCGCCTCAACCTCCACATGCAACTTCGGCACTGGCACGGCAACGACCCCTCGCCGCCCTCGCCGCCCTCGCCGCCTTCGCCGCAGTCGCCAGCCACTTCGACCGCCGTCGCTCCCTCGGAAGCAACGTCGCTCTCCGACAACGACCACGCCACCGACAACCCGCCGATCGCCGTTTCGCATGACCCCGCCGACGGCGCCGGCAGCTCCACAGCCGAAGCGCCCGATCAAGATGGCGGCGGCAACGAAGTGATTGCACGTTCGTCGCGAGCACGCAATTTGCAAACGCAGTGCCGTACGGCATCTAGAAGGAATCTAAGAATAAAGAACTGGCACAAATCATGTTCAAAGAAAAGGCGTGCCAATGCCGTCAAAGGAAAATCCGATAACAGAGTCCCGGCGACTCCAAACAAAATCATTAAAATTAATTTGAGAACAAACGAGAAGTCGACGAGTTCTGGTGCTTCTCGGCTCTCAAATAAAACGAATATTAATAGGGAGAGGAAAGGAAAATAACGTAGAGCAGAGGCTGTTGAAAGGAATTTTTCTTTGCAGGAAAAATGAAGTTGTATGAATGTTCGCTATTGTACTCGCCGTTCATCAGTAGGGTAAGGGTAAAATAATTAAATGAAATCCTTTCGTATAATTTGTAAGCTCTTTTTGTTTAAACTTTTTTAAGAAATAAAGTAAGTTTTATTTTGTTTGAATGAAACCAATTTTGTTTAAATCTTTACCATTACCAAACAAAAATATTCCAATCAAAACTTAGTTTTCATTTTTTTCATTTAGTATTTTAGTTATATGCAATGGAATAAATTCACATATTACGAATCAATCAAGGCAATCACAATTTCAAAATCGTGCTTTGATAAAAATATTTTCAACAACTTCTCACAGGACGTTGAGTCTTCATGAAAATCAGGAAATTCTGTAGCCTGATAAACGTGGTTATGAATAAATATTTTGTTGAAGCACTACTGCATCAATTTTCAAATAAAGTAATAAATATTTCAACGTCAAAATTTTGTAACATTCAAATTCGAATCAAGAACCACATAAAAGCGAAAGATGCCAGGATAGAAGCTCGGTCCACTAATTTTAAAAATAAAATTTCGCGATGATACATTATTTTACACATACTAATGCAAAAGTAAAACAAAATTTATTTCCCCAATTAAAATTCCATGCTACGTTGATTGGGTATTATCTCATCGCCGTAATATCTTTCCATGTTTTTTTTACGAGACACACAATATCCTTCATCCAAACTCCCGGGTTACATTGATCACCTGCATCCGATGGATCCAACACATCATAACACAGCGACACGCAATTAAATATAATGTAACCATCTAATCTCGAGTAACGAGGTCCAATATTTATATTTCCCGACGCGTCGTATTTTCTCCAGCGGCGCAGTAAACTGTTATTCGTATGAGGCAGCTGTAATCTCTGTGGAAGCCTCATCTCGTTAATTGCGCTAACAACCCGGTCTCGTCTATCGCCGCCGTTTCTGGTGTGGTAATCACAACCGGGCTGGAATCGTATTTCGATAACCGGAGCTCTAAATCGGGCTTCGCGCGAGGGCGGTTGAGGACGCGATGGCGGCGGAAGCGAGGACGGGGACCGGGGCGAGGACGGAGGAGGAGGTTACGAGGGCGCTGGGGACGGCGGGCAGCTTAGAGCCGGTGGCCCGCCGCGGTGACGAGGACGGAGGACCGCTAAGGCGGTACGGGTGAGGGGATGTCTGGGGAGGATTGAGGGCTACAAGGACGTTGGAGTTTGGTTGAGGTTCTGGCGGTGGATTTATGGGTTGAGGGGAGCGAGTAACAAGGATGTAATACTGAACCTCTGGTGGTGGGTTTTTGAGGAGCAGCAGAAGTGGATTGAAAAACGATCGCAATGTGAAAATAGGAATCTAGGAATCGAAATTGACCAAAGTTTTAGAGGAGAGCTGCTACTGGAAATAGAAGTATAGTTTGTTACTAAATGTTAAATTATAATCTCGTTTGATTTAAATTGTATTGTTTCCGTGTTTGTCCAAAAATCCTAGAGCAAGGATCGTTCGGTTAAGTTACAGAGTATCATGCCAGCAAGAAACGCATAAAATCGGTGATGCGCAAGCAATTATTCTATCTCAGGGTCTCTTTAAAGCTTAAAACAAGGTTTGTCACAAGATGAGAAGACATAGGTAATGTCTCTGTGATATTCACTCTCATTAATATCAGATCTTGAAAATAAGATCATTTGTTACGGTAGAACATAAAAGGAAGAAAAAACGTGTGTAATTAAAAAAATAGAAATTGGAGAGTAAGCATAAAACAATACATGCGATGAAAAGACATGAAGAGGAATAACATTATTGTTTTAACATGTGAAAGGCCGGGTTAAGCCTCTGTCTCTTAATGCCACGTAAATAACCAATATGAAAGTCTGACAAAAATGCTCGAAAACAGATACTAACAGCATTCTAATTAGAAAGTGTATCACGGTACATTAATAAAAATACAAATACAAAATTGACATGATTAAAATTAGGTGGGATTTGAGCTATAAAAATGCAATGCGCTGCAGAAACACTCTAAAAATATCGGCTTTCCTATAAAACGCATTCGGTATTCAAATGAAAAATTTGTAGTTTAGGCTTGAAAGTATGAAAGTAGCTGTCCAGAAGAGGTAAATTGCATTTAACAGATGGAATGGGGCTGTTAATTAAACATCAGAATCGTACTGAATACGACAAGGAAGAGTTACACAGAGCAGGAAGATATTATCAAATAATGACCGATAAAGCGAAAAAATGGAGAAAGGAAGCAAGATAATATCGTTACATGAAAGACGCCGGAGAAAAGATGATGCCCACCATAGATTACAAAGGTATTGAGATGAAAGATATTGCCAAATTATATCGGCAAAGGAGAGCGACGATCATAAAACAACAGCTACGAAAATTGACCAAAGGAAGACTGGACGAGTAAGAAGAACACGCGTACTGGCGCCGGGAATGAAGTATGGCGAAGTAACGCTTCTTGAGATGAGTTAACACTTCATTTTCCTTCTTGCTCTCCGTCTCACTTTTCCCATCAATGAAAATCTTTAAAGACGGCGGAGGGGGCGGTGGCAAAGTACCCGCGGAGACAGGACTCTCCATTGGTCAGTTTGAGAGCGAGTCTGGTTACACTCGAGTTACCACCCGAACTTCTGAGACCACCCGCGTCGCCACCGCAGACCACCCAAATTTCCAACGCCACTGTTACTGCCTCACTCACCCTACAAAGCTCTCAAATAGCCTAAGTGTAGTCTCTACTTATCTATTCCTCCACCATTCTTGAATGTATTATCGTGAATCTCATAACTTTCAGCAGCTCCCATTTCATCTCGTTACCAAGTACTGAAGCTAGTACCAGTGACACAATGCTCTCTCTGACTTCTCACCTTTTTCTCAACAACGAATGTTCTCTTGTACTTACACTGATCCCATGAATACCAATAGCGCGAACGATTTCGCCGTTTTCAGGTATTCCACGTAATTTAATTATCGCATTTTCCATCATCCTCGCTTATTTTTCGATTTCACGTGGTCCACTAGCTCTATCGATTATAACCTAAAGCCGCTCAATTACTACGTCGATGCTCCTCTTGCCATAAACCCCCACTCTCTCTCACTCGATCATCCCCGCTAGCTTCTAGAACAGTGGTCTCCGAGTTTCCACCATCGACAGTTTTTCCTTTCCACATTCAGCCCCAAAATTCGACATCCCCGTGACCAATTACCAAAGTCCATTAACTGCATGAACCCACTAATTCCAACATATTCACTAGTATTAATAACTTCAACCTCACTAGCCACCCAACTTCAACAGCCTTACAAATCTCCTGCTTCAACCACCTCACTAATCGCACTAACACTATCAACCTCACTAAACAATTTTACGCCAACAACCTCACTATAACTCCGCAACCTTATAAACCTCGCTAACTCCAACAACCTACAACTAATCCCATGGTAAATCGACATTGTATTGACCTGCACTAACTCCGAGAACCTCACTAACTCGTAACTCTAATAATATCACTAACACCTCTACCTCCAACAACCTCACCGACACCAATAACTCCAATCTACTGCTCATACCATGGTAAATCGACCATGTATTGGCCCGCACTAACTCCAAAAACCTCACTCACTAACACCTCTACCTCCAACAACCTCACCACCACCACTAACTCTAACCTACTGCTCATACCATGGTATCGACAGTGGATTGATCGAATAACTCCAAAATCCTCACTCACTAACCTCTACCTCCAATAACCTCACACCACAACTCCTACCGTACTATCCCACTGTAATCCAACAACTCTCACTAACCCACTAACTTAAACTCTCTGACCCCATCACCCCCCCCCCCCGTAGCTTCACTACGTCTCCCGCAACGCGTCACCCCAACATTCCTGTGCATCGCCCTCGTCACAACGCGTCATTCCTCGCCCTCCACACTCGCCGCTGCAGGCGCCTGCGCCTCCGTCCCTCGCGTTGTTCTTTACTGCCGTTCGCTTCGACGCAACCCGAGCGCCTCGACCGCCCGAAGCGACTCGCGTTCAACGCCAGCGGATCTTGTGCAGTCGCGTCGACGCGCAATAAAGCAGTCACAGCGCGTCGTAAGTGTCGACAGATTTATTTTTACTCCATGCTAACTTCAGGTTTGGGTTGCTAACAAGTGCTCTCGCAGATACGCATGAAATATTACTGTGCTGCAAAATTTAGTTAACTAAAGTATAACTTTAGGGCGTGAAGATGGTGTGAGGAAACGGAAGGCGATTTAATATCTGTTACAATCAGGGTGAAATTACAACCAAAGGTTTGGAAATGATTTATTAATTATAAGCACATTTTTTTAAGTAGAAACTTCTGCAATGAAAATAAATCTGTAAATTATGTCTACACACTTCAAACATGACAATTTTTATAACAAAAATCAAATTTCTTCTTATGTAATTCCCTAAAATATAATTTACCTCCCTCCCTAATGTTTCAAATCTTACATCTTAGTGGTAGTCTATAAATTACGTATCGCTGCAGAGGGGGAGGGTGTTTCAGCCAGCATTACGCTGCGTTACATAGGGAAGAGGGATCACAGTTTAGTGTTACGTGATGCAGATATTTTTTCAAATCTTTCTAGTTTTGCTGAAATAATTTCTTTTATTCAGTCTTATACTAAAATATTACCTTATTAACATATTAAATAAAAATATAATAATTAAAGAAATGATGTCCTATACATTGTTAAAATTATTAAATTAAAATATTTTTTATCAATGATATACTATTGAATGAATCTTTTAGATTATGTGAAAAATATCCAAATATTTTCTGTAGTATATTCTAGAATCCAAGTAGTTAATGCCGGAGACTCGTAGCCTATGCGTCATCTACGACTGCGTGTGCACAGATAGACAGAAATTTTCTCGCCTACGCGTCCTTCTTTCATTCAAAAATTATTTTCAAACGTATT